GATGGTTGTTGATCGATCGCATCATCTGTATCTCGTTCGCTAAGTACTCGAGGATGTTCAAAACCAGCAGGCTGCTCTATGAAAATAACGTCTCTGGAAACGAATACCTCTCTGTTGACAGTATCGAATAAACGAAAAATCTTAGAAGTGTCGTTGGTGTATCCTAGAAATATACATTCTTTTCCTTTTGGATCTAGCTTTCTACGTTTCTCCTTTTGTATAAATGTAAAAGCTTTACATCCAAATACATGGAGATGAGATAAATCCGGTTTTCTGCGAGTCCAAACTTCTTCTGGAATGACATCTTTCAAAGCTTTTGTTGGTGATCGGTTTTTCAGGTAAACAGCTGTTGATATTGCTTCAGCCCAAAATTCATTGTTGAGTTTGGCCTCCGACAGCATACTTCTTGCAGACTCTACAAGAGTGCGGTTGAGCCGTTCAGCAATACCATTTTCTTGGGGCGTATAAGGGACAGTTTTCTGATGTTTAATTCCGTTCGTCTTCAAGAGTCCTTTCAGTGCATTATTGACATATTCAGTTCCATTGTCGGTTCTTAGATTCTTGATTTTTCTTCCAGTTTCATTTTCAACTTGTGCCTTATATTCTTTGAATTTGTCGATTACTTCTGATTTTTGTCGGAGAAAATAAACCATAGTTTTTCTTGAAAAATCGTCAGTAAATGTCAAAAAATATTTAGCACCACCAATGGAATTTGTCTGCATGGGTCCGCAAACGTCGGAATAAACTATATCTAAAAGATTTTCAGACTTTTGGACTTCTGTTCTGATGAATGGTTCTCGGTGAAATTTGCCCTTGATACAAGCCTCGCACGGTATTTCTTTTTTGCCTGAGTAACTTAGTCCTGTCACCAACTTTTTCAAAGTCCGCATCGATTGTTCATTCAGGTGTCCTAGTCTTCGGTGCCACAGTTCATATGAGTCCTCTTGATATGCTACTTGAATTTGTTGATCTTTTGCTTGATCGAGAAAGTACATTCCGTTTCTCTCACTACCTGTTGCTATAATATCTTTTGATGCCAGTGGAATTATCTTAGAAGTGATTCTACAGCTATTAATTCCATCAAAGATAACTGAACAGCCATTTTTGACAATCTTGCTAACAGACAACAAATTCATTTTCAGATCAGGAGCATGACTAACTTGTTTTATGTTGATGAAGTTATGATTATCTAATAAAACTTCTACGTCGCCGGTTCCTGTACAATGAAGCTTGCTACCATTTGCTATCGATAAATTTCTGGATTCATGATCTTGATATGATTTCAACCAACCAGAATATGCTGTGAAATGGGCACTAGCTCCAGAGTCAATTATCCAGTCTGTATTCATGGATTTTTCAGGCAACGTTTCACATGTGAATGCATAATAGGTATTTTCCTTTTTATCGGATTTCGAAACCTTCTTTGGATGTGGACAATTAGGGGATTTATGATTATACTCATTGCAGTTATAACATCTTGGACCTTTCTTGAATTTCTGCGATTTATTCTTCAATTTTTGGCTGAAGAAAGCTGATTCTGAAGATGATGCCACAGCTTTAACATTATCTTGAAGCAATAAATTTTTCACAAATTCAGTGGTTGTTATTTGTTTCGAACCTTGAATTCCAAGAAGTAACGGTTTGTATTCGTCCGGTAAACCACCCAGTATTATCCCTCCAATAACATTGTCCTTAAAAGGTTCACCTATGTTTTCCAATTGCTCAGCAATCTTCAATATACGGTCTATGTAATCCTGCATAGAAGTGCATTCTTCAAATCTTGTTTTGAAAAGACTTGAATACAGTCCAACTAGTCTAACAATACCAGAATCTTCATAAGTTTTTCTCAAATTTTCCCATGCTTCTTTCGCGGTTTTTGCCTTTTTAGTCTCCGCTGCAGCACATGGTTTCAAGGAAAGATTTATTTTTGCCAGAGTTCGTTGATTCAATTCTGTATCTACTGCTTCTCCAGTTTTTGGTTCGATACAGCACCATAATCCAGCATCGATGAGAAAATTCTTCATCCAGAATTTCCACTCATTATAATTGGATCCATTTAGGTGTTTCGATTCTGCTAACCCGCCAACTGAACTAGATATCACGGTAGATCTGATGCTAGCCTTGGAGTCGAGCTCTCTTCTGAGTTGAGCTATTTCTTCCAACATTTGGTCCATTGACATTTTTTTTTTGGTGACAGCAAAATTCAAATAAAAATCACTTGGATGTCAAAACTTGTGAATATTTTTCCAAATTCCAGAGAACTGAAGAATTGTTCTTTTTGGAAAATGATTATGTTTCTACTGCGTCCGAATCACTCTTCGCGATATCCTGGGCCCATAACCTGATAGCAGAGCTTGATTATTCACAGTATGAGGAACACAATCGACAGTATAAAAATCTCTGATTTATTATTTTATATAACAAGTGAACTACTATCAATAATATATACTGGGAGTTATATAAAGGTATAAGAAAGTATCACAGGACTACTCTTCTAACAATATTCCATAAAAAAGACACAAGAAACTTGGAACGTTTTCAATTTCACAGTTGAAGGAATGGGAAGACTTGGATCTACTAGACCTGTATTTTACTGGAAATAAATTCGTGGTCCCTTGTGCCACTTATTATCGGGAATTCCGGGATTTCCATCCGAGTTCATTTTGTCAGCATAAATTTGAATGACAGAGAATAAACAATGCTGCCAATACAGTGTCTGGCATGTATGATTCGTTTCCATGATTATTCTCAAAGTTCTCACGTGCGATGTTTCCGTGCGCTAGTCCGAAAAAGCCCATATTACGATATTACTAATTAAGATGAAAATGAGGTGATTTCAAAGTATAATAGAAAAATAATCCATTGCCGATCTTAGGTCGAGAAGTGAGAAGCAGTGAGCCATTAAGAGTAAAAAACAGATTATCCTAATTTCCGGAAAAAATACAAATCATGTGGAAAAAAGTTGAATGGCAAAGTTTCAGGTAATAAAGAGATCATCAAAAGCTTTTGTATCCACACTTTTTTCACATCACCTCGAAATTTATGTAAAAAATTAAAAAAAACAAGTTTTTGGATTTTTATTTTTATCTTTCACCAAAAAAATGTTCTAACGAAATTCGGTGAAAACTTACCTCCTAATGTCCCAAGAATTCTGTGATTTTGTTCGACTTGATATATGCTTGATATTTGATATCGAAAAAGCACCCTAATATTCAATCGAAAAATGAAACAAAAAGCAGTATAACCCGTCAAACAGTCTAAATATTTAGCCCTCATTGGATATCAATATTGAAAAGTACTTTGGTACTGAACATCTACGAATAGTACTAAATCTAGTACAAAAGTACTGACTGAATGAGAACGTACCCTCTGTGGATACGTCGACGGGTGGCTGTACTCCAAGAAGCATGGCAACGCCGGCAGAGTTGACGTCGACGTCAACTGTCGGATTCTCGCGGGTCTCTCTCTTTCTGTAGGGATGGCGATCTTTGGAATATGAATCGATTTTTGGAATTGATCTAGATCGAAAGGGCAAAAATCGATCTATAAAAAGGCAAATAATCGGACGAGTCCTTGGAAAGAGATGTTCTGCAGGTCTCCAAAGTGACCACGAAGGGGTGCGAAGCCTCAACTCGACGGGTTAATCTCGTGGGGACTGCCAAGGAACAATTATTGATATTTCAGAAGAGCATCGTCCATGAAAATATATATAAAATAGAGCCAGATCGCCAACCTCAGGTCGGATCTGTGCCTTATAGATCATAAGCAGCTGACTGGAAGTGAAATAGCTCCTGGCCCGAAACAGAAGTTTTTGGGATGCATTTTTAGCATTTGATCCCACGTGATTTTCTCAAGAAAGGTCGATTAGATCATAGAAAATGTTCAGCAATATACAAAAAGAAGTATGAGAAAGATCTTGACTCCTGAGAATACGATCATTAAATAATCACAAATTACCAACTAACATGACAAAACATTAATAATTCCTCATTTCATTTGAATGACTCTTGTAGTTGAGTGAAAAAGCTTGTTTCTCATTATTATCAAATATGTTATTCAGTTTGCATTCTTGTTCGATTCGATTTTATGTGGAGAAAATAGATTCACCTAAAGATCGAACGGAAGAAGATTGATCTAAAAAGCCGATTTTTTCAGACAAAAAGATCGATTTTGGAAAAAATCGATTCAAGATCGCCATCCCTATCTCTCTGTCTCTCTCGTTCGATACACGAATTACACGATATTATAGAGAGTTGAAGTAATCACTGTACGTAGACCTCCACGTAGACGTTAACGTACGAAAAATAACGTTTACGTATTGTCGTTAAATTGAGTTGAAGTCGCCACTTTGGTCGTCACTGTCATCATAACGTAATAATACATTTTGTTTTCGGTTCGTATTGGTCATTGTTGGTTGTGTGTTTAGATTCGAACATTTATTCCTGTCAAAATCAGAGGACTCCTTGATGCAGAACTCGTTGGTGATCTTGAATTTGATAATTTTGACTCATCGGCATTTGGAGTATAGTTTGGTTAACGTACGTTGATATTTAAGGTATACGTGAAAGAACGTGAGATAACGTACACCCGTAAGCCCACTAACAACACAAACGTGAAGAATTGGAGAATGCGCATGCGTAACTGTCAATTTCTACGTTTACGTTAACGTTCATGACAACACTTCAACCAACTTCAACTCTCTATTCTCTAGAATTATCGAGTTAAAACCACTGAACTATAACCCTAGTGGTTAAAACACATTTTGTAATGTTTTTGTGTTATTAAACATGTTTGTTTGAAAAGTGGACTCATTTGCTTGCCGCGATAGCCACAATAACCTAAATAACCTTAAGATATTCCGCAGCACAGCAGCATGATACTAATTGATTGACTGGCGAGATACGTTTGTAGGTTTGTGTGCCGTTTGTTCATGGTGAAATTATGGTTTGCTTGTTTTGTTAATCTGCGACAGAAGTGACAGTGACTGAGATGAAGTGACAGAAGTGACCAACTACTGTTTATGTCAGGTGTTTATGTTTACGTGGAAGAGGTTATGTGTTATGTTATGTTTTTTGATGGTTTTCTGTCTTTCTGGTTGGCTTTAGGTTTTAGCACAGTATTTAGCCAGTTTTGAGTTTACAATTCAAAATCTCCAATACTAGAAAGCCTCTAAAATGTTCGAAATAACAGATACACAGAGTACGTATTGCATATATTGTAGAAATACACTATTTTCTCATTTAATTTTCAGAAATTGGAGTGGGCCTTTCAGCATTTGGAATTTTTTTTATATTCCTTGGAGTTATGCTGCTACTTGATAGGAGTCTATTGGCATTAGGAAATGTAAGTTATTTCATCAGTTCTCCAGTGGGTTTCCATTATAGTTTCCTCCTCTAGTCTTAAAATAAAAATAGTCATGCTCAATCTAATCCCAGATCTAATATCTCTATCACAAGACAAGTTGAAGCTGATGGAATCAATGTAAGATAAGGATTACTCAGTATTCACCGGTTTGGTGACCTGAAAGAACCACCCATCACTGGTCTTTACAATAGTATTTGTAAATCAAAATATTAAAACAACCTGAATTTGTAGCTGAATATCAATTTCATAAATCATATCTCTTTTTTAAGGTTATGGTTATTTATTCCAGATATTATTCATAGCTGGTTTAGCATGTGTTATAGGCAGAGAAAGAACATTCAGATTTTTCTTTCAAAGGCACAAAGCGAAAGGTTCTATTGCCTTCTTTGGTGGCATATTTTTAGTGCTGATCAAATGGCCATTATTTGGAATGATAGCTGAAACTTATGGTTTTATTTTGTTGTTTAGGTAAGAGCTAAATAATTTATTGAAAATTGTAGTTTTCATAGTCCTTTTATTTATTACAGTGGATTTTTCCCAGTTGCCATTAATTTTTTGAGGAGGGTGCCGATATTGGGTACACTTTTAAGTTTGCCAGGAATTGGTAGTGTAAGTACATTTTGATCTATATACAGTGGTCTTACTTTGAATGGCCCCCTCTAAATATCAGCTATTAGTCATGTGATTCTAAACAAAATTCGGACTGTTACAAGGACTGGTATAAATAACCATCAAATCAGTTTGTCAGAGGCAAATATCATTATGGATAGTGCCCTGCATTTTTATTGAAATGGAAAGGGGTTGATTTGTCATTAAATAATATGATTTTTTTTGGCAGAATAAAAAACTTCATATTATTAATCCTCATGCTTTTGTACCTCTAGATGAATAAATTCCGAGATAAATTCACTTATTTTAAATTACTGGAATATTATTATCGAGGGGGAAGACATGCTCCAAAATTATGTACACCTATTGCCAGTTTTGGCATTAAATGCTAGTTTATTGCCGTAATGCCAACTAATGCCGATATATTTCTGATACTGCTGACTAATGCCTAAATGCTGAAAATTATTATCAATACATAACAACTAGAATACCTTATAGTTTTTTATGCCCGATAACAATTATCCTGAACATATCTATATTCCCTATGAAAATACCATAATACCTATTTCTCTCTGTGTTTCTTGAAATTGTCAAAGAGTAGCTATAATATTCCAAACACAAACTACTGATAGCAGGTATAAGTTTTCCACAGTTTAAATACTAATTTGGAATATATTTATCATGAGTATATTTTTAATTTTTATTACATTGATGCAGGGTCATCAAAGCTGGTAGGTATGTATACTGGTCTTCATAGACATAATATCAATAATATGAAGATGTCAGCTCTGTAAATTACCACTGCTTTGGTTCTTTGCCAATGAAAGTATTCCCAAGAACTTATTATAACCTCCAAAAGTTCAAGAAAAATTCCAACACCTATACCTCTTCAACCTATTGTCCCTAGGTATGCATGGTGCATTTGGATGAGTAGGAGAATAAGTATCTACCCTTTCAATTTTGCTCGTACGTCTCTCCATTTTCATACCGAATACACTTATGTGCGCTTATGTGGGTATTTTTTTCGATTTCTTGAGTGATTTTTTCTGTTTGAATATTATTGTTCATTGTAGACAGCCTAATTGAGATAATTTGTTCCATTTCTGCTATTTTGATTTCCATATTGTTTCAGGCGGTGATTAATTTTTAAAATCTGTCATGTTCGTTAGGAAAACTCCGAGAAAATGTCACAGCTTTAGAGCTTCAAGTACCTACACTGATTTCACGAGATTATTTTTTCGGCAAAGTTCAGGGACATCCTCGGGTACGTCCATGTGTGTTGTGTCCTGTCACATTCAATATATTGGGAGTTCAGGTATTTTGAATTAATGACATACCATTCTCCACTTTGTTTCACTGTTACCTCATCCAGTGCAGTTTATTCCCGACTATTGTCGATCTAATTCCGAATATTGCCTAATAATTCCGACCTAATGTTGCCTAATTTCTTGTTCCATGCCGACTATTGCCATTTAGGGCCGATCATTTTTTAATAATGCCGATAATACCTATAATGCCTTAAGTATTGCCATTCATTTCCGAACATTTTGTACACCTATTGCCGCCGTGTCCACCCCATCGATTATTATATAAGTCTCCGAGCTTCATTCTCTGCTATGGAAGGTTTAATAGCTCCAGTAGGTGGAAAATTATGTTTCAAACAACAATTTTTTCGTAGAATTTACCATTTGCCAGTAAATAATTATTTACATTTGCAAAAATAATGTTTGGGTATGCCTGTTTTTTTTTTATTCTCCATAGAAATTATATCAAAAGTCTCATCTCACAGATAATTACATAAACATTCAACTGTTTTGTAGATGGTGGGCTACCAGTAACGCCTCGGTCTCAAGAAGACTAACCACTCATCTTCTTGGAATTGTTCCTCTCTAGGAAGTTGCATGTCAACATAGGCTAACATTTGAAATTATTTCATTTTGAGATTCTCCCTGATGAGCTGATTTCAACGACCCATCATACTTGGGGTCTAGCAGTAATAATTACTGAGGTATATACAGGGTGTCCCACTTACTATGCTCACCATGGGTATCTTTTAAACGGTGAGAGATACGAGGTCGGTTAAATCACACCAAATGTGGAGTTTGTCAAGGCCAACTATAATGTGAAAAAATATTTTGATAAAATCTATTCGTTTTTGTTTTATACGCAAAAAACAGATTTTGATCATTTTCATGTCTCCTCCGTAACTTCTTTATTTATGAAAATATTCAAATAGGAATTTCACATTCCCATGGCAGTTTTTCAAAGTGATTTCGAAAAAAATATGAAATTTTTACCAACTCTTCTAGAATTTAAGATATCAGTACCAACTTTAGTTTTTCAAATGTAGGTCATAGTGAGCTATGACTTAGTTACAAATAACTTTTTTTTCTCTTACAGATGATATGTCGCAGTAATAGTTTTGTGTTGATAACAACGGATTTATCGTCATTTACACAAAAACAAAAATTTATTTGGAAGCCGCCATTTTGAATTTATGAATTTTATCAAAACAATCATGATCTCCGACCTAAAAAACACCCACACACCAATTTTGAATGGAATCGGACCAAATCTTGTCCGCCATCTTGGAGCAGCCATTTTATTTAATTTGAACAAAAATTCCATAATGTATTGTCACCAAAATTATGAACACTTGCCAAATTTCAAGTTAATCGGAGTCATGGAATTTTTGTTGAAATAAAAAAAATGGCTGCTCCAAGATGGCGGACAAGATTTGGTCCCATTCCATTCAAAATTGGTAAAATTTATAAATTCAAGATGGCGGCTTCCGAATAATTTTTTGTTCTTGTATAAATGACGATAACTCCGTTGTTATCAACACAAAACTGTAACTGCGAAATATCATCTGAAAGAGATAAAAAAGTTATTTGTAACTAAGTCATAGTGAGCTATGACCTACATTTGAAAAACTAAAGTTGGTGCTGATATCTCAAATTCTAGAATATGAAATTCCTATTTGGATATTTCCATTAATAAAGAAGTTACGGAGGAGACATGAAAATGATCTAAATCTGTTTTTTGCGTGTAAAACAAAAACGAATAGATTTTATCAAAATATTTTTTCACATATAGTTGGCCCTGACAAACTCCACATTTGGTGTCATTTAACCGAACTCGTATCTCTCACCGTTTGAAAGATACCCATGGTGAGCATGCTAAGTGGGACACACTGTATAGGGTATGAAAAATCAAGATTTTCCAAGTTCAAGAATTTTTTGTGTTGAAACTATTCATAATTGGTCAAAACCTTTGTTCGGAGGTCAAAACGGTTTACATGTCCCTATCTCAACTTTTTATCCACTATCAATTGATATTCAATTGAAACAAATACTGGGTGGTTCAGAATTGAGATTTTTGAGCACCCTGTATCTAGTTTAATTAAATACCAATCGATAGTGAATATAAAATTGAGATAGGGATATGTAAATCATTTTGACGAATTATGAATAGTTTTGGCACTGAACTTGGAAATCTCGATTTTTCACACCCTATGATGTTTCAGTAATTATTACTGCTAGACCCCAAGTACGACTTAAAAATGTATAACTTCAGTGGCTTGTTTTTTTGGGGACACCTTGTATGTTTCGAAATAATTTCAAATGGTAGCCTATGTTGACATGCAACGTCCTAAAGAAGAAGAATTTCAACAAGATGGGTGGTTAGACTTCTAAAGACCAAGGCGTTACTGGATGGCCCACCCTGTATAAATATCTGTTATCTCTGAAAATCTGATCATATTGAGGGTTATCTTTGAACTGAGGTGGTAAATGTTTGTAAATACCTTTTCACACTGTATTTTTTTTAAATGTATCATAAATATTTTATATTATGGTTCTGATTCGTCGTTCCCTGAAGAATATTGGTAAAACTGCATTTAGCATGCGATGGGTTTTTTTTCGAAAATTGTTTTTGGTACTTACGTATTTTTGTCTCAAAAACACGAATTTGATAATAAAAATGTGAACAAACCATTATTTATCAAGATATTTCACTATGAAGTTAAAAACTTCACCTACTTTTCCGCCTGTCTTCTGGATTGAATTCAAAACAATTTACCCTTCTTTTTTCATCAATGGACAAAATTTATATATATCACAATGTAAGCCACATTTTTTTCTATTATTGAGTCCACTAGAAATATGATTTTATTGTGATTTATCCATATTTAGTGAAAAGAAGGAATAATGGCGTGTGTAATGTCATTCGAAAGCAATCTATTGACATTTGACATCTCGTATTTGGATTGCCTATGGATTAAATGGCCGTCATCTGGTATGCTTGCTCACTAAATAGGAAAAACTCACCATAAAAATCATATTTCCTGTTGAATTTTCTGTATAAAAATATGTCAGTGAAGTACATCATGAGTATACAAAGTGTCCAATGACAAAATAAGAAGAGCAAGTACCTGTAAATGCATCCAACGCAAGGGGAAAAAAAGAGTCGAAATTTCGTACTTTTTTTTAAAATATCTCGATAAATAGTGGTTTGTTCACATTTTCATTATCAAATTCGTGTTTTTCAGACAAAAATACGTAAGTACCAAAAAAAATTTTCGAAAAAAAAACCATCGCATGCTAAATGCAGTTTTAACAGAATATTGGGCCCCCGCAGCGCGGAATAGTAGTAGGATTTGTTCTATAAACATTGAAAGTTTTATTTCAAAAAATGCATCTGACCTTCCTGAATAGTAGGTGAAATACAAATAAAAGTTAACTAACACAGTTGTATTCCTTAGCTAGTTGATAGACTGGTTGGAGACTCAACCCGGACAAGAGTGTGAAAAGCTATGAACTCAAGTACCTACAGTTTTAGAATAAGTGGTGTGATAATCAGTATCTGATAATATAAGTATAGGTATTCATTGTATTTTCCATTGGTTTTCCATGTTCATAATAATCACGACATAATCATTGTACATTTTTTTGTAATAAAATTGTCCTACTCAAAATACAAAATATACATTTTCACAAAATGCTATGACATATTTAATTCCCTACATTTTTGTGATTTTCTCTCCCTGTCTCTATAATATAGTTATTTAACCAACTAGTGTATTAATGAGGGCGATTAATGATCGAGATATTTTAACGTGCGAGCGAAGCGAGAAATGAAAAATGCGAAATTTTGGAAATATACATTTCTTGCGGAAAAAATGCAACCGCTGCTCGTAGAGAATATGCGCATCGGTTTGGTGATCGTCCGCTTCCATCTTTGAATACCTTCAAGAGGATCTTCAAGAAGTTCAGACGAGATAGTGGTGATTTGGGTGATATGAAGAGGAATCGGCAAAAAACGGTACTCATAGAAGGGACAGAGGAAAATGTGTTACTTTATTTCATTGAAGATCCGAGTCGTTCGACAAGAATGGCTGCAAATTACTTCAATATATCCACGACAAGTGTGAGACGAGTTTTGAAGAAGCATCGTATGAAGCCATACAAAGTAATGCCAGTGAATTATTTGTTTCCTCAAAATCATCCAAATCGTTTACAATTTTGTCATGAAATAATTGAAAGACATAATCGCGATGAAAATTTTAGTAATAAGAATATTTTATTCACGGATGAGTGTTCATTTTCAACTTCAGGAAGGTTTAATAGAAAAAATTAGCATAGCTGGGCTACGGTTAATCTGAGAGTAATGAAAAAGATTAAAAAACGAGGCCGGAGAAGTGTGAATGTCTGGTGCAGTGTTTATAACACTAAAGTAATTGGTCCCATCTTCATTGATGGCAGTCTTACGGGGCAAAAATATTTGGATATGTTGCAAGGTGACAACTTGCTTGATGAAGCAATCCCTTTGAATAGACGAAACCAATTGGTATGGCAGCAGGATGGTGCACCTCCTCACAATGGAATTGAAGTCACGAACTACCTCAATGAGAGTTATTACACTTGGAGTGGAATGCGAGGACCAATATTTTACCCGCCCCGTAGCCTGGACCTGACGTCTTGTGATTTTTTCCTGTGGGGGGCGCTGAAAGACAAGATCTATAAACCTGATATTCCGGATACTGACTTCTTGAAAAATAAAATAACAAAAGAAAAAATCTGTGAAAATTTGTTGTAGATAGCTCTAATGTGTATTCACGATCTCATATAGTTCATTCAATAAATATTGTTCATAAATATTCAATCAAGTTTTGTTGTCAAGAACTCTTGATGATATTTCGATATCTACGCATGCGTTACTGTTATAGTGTGATACCAAATCTATCCACATAATGATATGTAGTTTATTGACTTTTCCATGGAATATTTTTTCAAAGCCCACTATGTTCAACTATGATATAAAGTGAGAATTCATGAAGCGATATTTTGGTCAATTTTGATCAACAATAACTCAATTATTCTTCACCCGAATATGCAACTCATATATATTTTTGGAATCAGAAAAAAAGCTCTATATCGACATGTCGGAAAAAAATCAAAGTTGATGTTCTTTCTGAAAAAACGAATGACCCTGTATATGAAACAACATCACGAAATAAAAGTTTTGGTCGTTTCAAACAACTTTTTTATTTAACATTTTTTCATATCACCGAAAACAAGAGTTAATAGGGGTTCCATTTTAAGAGGCGCACCCTGTACAGTGCATCCCACTTTGGGTGAGACAGCCAGGTATCTCGGTTGTTGCTGAAGATAGAACCTTACGGTTTTCGCAGTCCTGTGCCACTTTTGTGAAACTCAAGATGGCCTAATCAGATTTTGCATAACTGTTTCCGTTTATGAGATACAGGGCGATTTTTAAAATTTATACTTTTTAGACCCCCTCTATATCTACGAAGTTTCTCAGCGAAAACGTCGAATTAAAATCTTATCCCATAGACAATTTGATTAATGTATGAAAAATCCCACAAGCCGCGTGATTTTGTCATTATGACAGCGAAAAAACTTTGCTCTAACTTTTCCAGCGACAATAACGGAACCTAACTTTTGAAAGCATGACAACCAGCCATAAACAAATGTTTGATGAATCAAATTGTCTTACCGAATTACACTCTAGCTTTTTTTTTAGTCGTAGTAAACTTGGCATTTATAATTCGAATTTTGTTGCCATTAGGTAATTCAACTCAAAAAACGGCCAGAAAAAATTACTTGTCCTACGGACTCGTAATTTTTTCAGAGACAGTTTTTTTTTCGTTTAATTGCTTGGCAACTAAATTCTTATTGATAAATGTCAAGTTTACTTCGACAAAAAAAAAGCTCTCGTGTAATATAAGTGAGAATTTTATGCAGAATCCAGTGGAGCACTAAAATTTTTTTCAGGGTATGCTTTTGGAGATACAACTCAAACTTATGATTTTTCAAATGGAACACCCTCTGTATGTCAAGAGCTCATTAAATTCCTTTCTTTTTCCTTCAAAATGTTATGTAATGTATGAATGTGAAATTATCAAAAATGCTCCAAAATTTTTTTTTTTCATTGAATACAAAAATTGGCCAATAATCAGAATAACTTCTGGTGATATGACCTACAGCACAATTTAAGTGATAGTATTAACAATATAATACAAAACAAAGATAAAATCTAAGATTGATACATATTTCAAACAATAATAATAATAATGATAATAGTAATAATAATAATAATAATAATACTGTATATTTGTTTGGTCTCAACTATCGGTTTGTTCAGCTACATACTTTTTTAACTCTTTTTTGAATACCATTCTGGAAGCAATGTTTGTGATTTCCACTGGGAGATTATTATACTGTTGAATTCCTTTATAAATGGGTGTGTCCTGGTTTTTTTTAGTTCTCATATATTTTTGTTTTAGTCTTACAGTATTGCGTGTATTGTAGTTATGTAAGTCACCTACTACTTCGATGTTAGTATTACAATGAATGTATTCGTTCAAGACTCCATGAATAAACTTAGCTTGTTCAATTGTAACGATTTGATCAATTTTTATGTATCCAGTTATTTGATAAATAATGTTTGTTGAAGTTAATCGATCCAGGTTATGTAAAGTCTTTATTGATTTATTTTGCGCTCTTCCTAGTTTATTAATTAATTGTTGTGATGCATTGCCCCAGCATGGTACCAGATATCTTAAATGTGATTCAATATAGCTGTAATGAACACTTTTTTTAACATTGTTGTTTAAATACTTTGAACAGCGTTTCAATGCACCCCCCATTGCAGCTAGTTTGGTTATCACCTTGTTAATATGGTCTGTCCACTGAAGTTTATTATCAATCAATAGTCCTAAGTATTTGTAAACTTCAACTTCTTCTAGCACATTATTGTTTATATTCAGTTGTATTGTCCCATTTGGTTTGTTTTTGTGTTTTATCACCATGTAAACAGTTTTTACGACATTTAATGCTAATTTATTCATCAGTAGCCATTGATTATATTTGTTTAGGTCATTATTTGCTATTAGCTCTAATGATTTTAGACTGCCACTTGAATAAACCAGCACTGTGTCGTCAGCAAAGGTGAAGTATCTTGCACTTAAGCCTGCTGTTTTCAGGGAATGAACGTACAAAAGATATAGTACAGGCCCGAGCACAGACCCCTGAGGCACACCAATATTTATGTTATACTCACCACTTTGATTATTTTCTAATCTTGTGTATAATTTTCTATCCGATAAATAGGATTTTAACAGGTTGTGAGAAACACCTCTGAATCCCATATTATTCAATTTGTTCATAATTTTTGCCACATTCACCGTGTCAAATCACTAAAACATTGAATTTTAATGGGCTATGGATTTTTTTTATATACAGTGTGACCCATTTTCATTGGAAACACCCCTGTATCTCACGTCATCGTTGGGTAAGGATCCTGAAATTTGCTGGAGAGAGATACATACCAAAAATGCACTCTATGACCAAGTGGGGTCATCTTCAGCGATATACACTGCTCGCCAACAGCCATATGAAACCACCCCAATTTCCGGAAAATGATATTAGGAGTCAAAATAGGTTGAAAATCACGTCGGATTCGGAATCAGGACGCCCAAGTTACTAACTATTCAAAGTTTTCCTAGAAGATTTTCAGTTCAGTAAAATTAAAATTTGTCTCACTTTTCATGGAAGCACCCCCGTATCTCACGTAATTATTGAGGTAGGGTTCTGAAATTTGCCGGAGGAAGAGAAAGTCCAAAGATAAAGTGAATTACGTGAGATACGGGGGTGCTTCCATAAAAAATGCGACAAAATTTCATTTTTCCGAACTGAAAATTTTCCAGGAAAAATTTGAATAGTTAGTAAATTGGGCGTCCTGGTTCCAAATCTGAAGTGATTTTCGACCTATTTTGACTCCTAATATCATTTTCCGGAAATCGGGGTAGTTTCATGGCTGTTGGCGAGCAGTGTTTATCACTGAAGATGACCCCACTTCGCCCCACTTGGTCATAGAGTGCATTTTTGGTATGTCTCTCGCTCCAGCAAATTTCAGGATCCTGTCCCAACGATTATGTAAGATACAGGGGTGGTTCCATTTCAAATGGGTCACACTGTATAAAAAAGGTTCTAATTGAAGGAACATTTCATTTGGATACAGGGCGAAATTGAAAACGTTGCATTTTGGGACCCCTCTTGTATCTTAGCTATGTTTCAACTTATCATAAAAGTAATATATTACTTTTTCTACTCACATAACTAAAATGGTATTTATCATACGGAGTTCGTAGAAAAATCATCGTATGTAACGCGTTTATAAACTCTTCTAGACACTCGTTTATTAAACACTCGCTCCGCTCTGCTTTGCTCGTGCTTAAACTACTCGTTACTAAAAGGACGTTTATAGCACTTGTTACATAATATACTATTTTCTACTCACATAACTAAAATGGCATTTAGCGTACGGATATGTACCACGCTAAATGATCGGTTAATCACGGATTATCGATCTGTGATTTATTCCAAATATTGAACACGTTACCATGGCAACACGATTTCTTAAACACATTACCATGGCTCTTCAGGGTGAATCTAAAAATGCAATAAAATACAGGGTATTCTTTTGAAATAACAAAGTCGTTGCTACTTTTTTATAGAACCGGCAACACTGCATTAGCGTATTCTGAAATTAAGCATGCACATAGAGATGTATAGAAATTTAACTGGTGGGCTCGTTCTTCAATTGTTTCTTCAGACTAACTCTCGATATGGAACAATTGCAAGCGAGTTTTGGACGTGGGGTTCAGGTATTTGCGATAGAGGCGCCATAATCGGAAAATCGTTCAAAACCTCGGTTCTGTGAGGAATGCATCTATTTCCATCATTGTTCTGTGGTCGAATAAATACTGTGCTCAACATTTTCATTCAAATTTCAATTTGAAATAGAAGCAAGAAATCTTTTTTGTAGCCGATTTTAATTAGCTTCACTTCTTTCATGACAAGAACCTATTTAAAGCATGAAATCTGATAAATTTCCTCTTTGAAGAACCAGAACAAAGAATGTATCAACTATTGAAATAGACCAATATCGAAAATCATAATAGGCAGATATAGTATCTGGTACTCACCTTAGAATTTATTCACACCAGTTCACGCTAATATTCCAAATCACTGAAATAATACTGTTGTAGAACAGAGATTTTCTTTTTTCTATGGTGGATTAGGTATTTTTTTTGTTCTTAAATTGTTCTATCCGTCATTCGGTTGCCCCCTTACGAGCAACGACCCTCAGAAGTCTTCGAAAGACTTGTACGAGCAAGGAATGACGGGGGCCTTACCTTTTAACGTGTGATCCCAAACACTTATACACAAAATTTAGAAACTATGGAGCACGTCCCTAACGAACACTTGACCCCAATCTCAGAAATAACCATTTTTTCAGCTCAAGAATATTTTTGACATATTGACGTTTCGATCCTTTGATCAGGAATCAGTTCACTGCTCTGATCCAAATCATACACGTATCCAAATATTCATCGGTCGGTAACATGTCGGTAATATGTTTCCTGTAAATATGGATTGTAACCTGGATGAGCTTAGCGAGATTTACCCACGTCAAGTATGTTTATCAAAGGTTTATCAGAGTAGGCGCAATCGAGAAACTTGCAAACGACCTTCAATAGGGAGCAAGCGCACCAGTTAAATTTTTATACATCTCTATGCACATTTTCACGGATTTATTCTGACTGATTCTCGATATAAAGATAGTGTAAGCTCGTCGTGACATAGGTACCCTGTATTGAAACTACAATAATCCGAACATCCTTGGAAATTGAATGAACCTGCTGTTAATGCAGTTAGAATATTCTCACCACAGGGATTTTGCATTGATTTTGTTTTGTTGCATTGCATACATATGGCAGGGGCATTGGTGGTTATTTCATGTATTATGCAAAATTAGCTTGTCAAACAAAGTGTCACTTTTGATCCTATAATAAAACAATCTACTATTAATCTTGATGACCTCTACTACATCCTTTTTAGTTCTTAGGACCAACATCAGTTCAACTTTATTAGCTCCTATGAACTAAAAGTGTTGCCTAGCAACATACCTATGTTTGTGTCAGAAATAGAAACGTCAATTAAAATGGAGGACTTTTATGTTGGTTGCAGAAATAGTTATTTTTGTATCTAGAGCGAGAAATGCTACTCTGGTGATCAAGATCTGATTTCTTCACCGAGGCGTAGCCGAGTTAAAAAATAGTCAAGATGACCAAAGTATTTCGTGCTCGAGTTGCAAACAACATTTTTTCTACAAACTTCAAAAAATATAATTCTAAAGTGAAAATATGCTTAGCTTGATATGGAAAATAGTATTGAACTAGCTTAAAAGGCCTTCCCCTATCCTCCCTAGGTATGCACGATGTTCCATGAACATAATAGGAATGTCCTTTCGTGCGCTCCAAGAGATAAAACAAAGTGATTATTGAACATTAAGAGATAAATGATTTCATGAATGTTTGCTCTATTGAGGACCATAAAGTCGAAATATAAATATCTCATATATTTTACATGCACTGTTTTACTTTGTGCATTGTTTTGTGCAAGGTATCATGATGATAGGAAACTGAAAAAAAGTGTCACTTTGCAATTTGTTATCAATGTGCAAACCTTGTCATTTTTTGACGTTTGTAGAAAAAAAATATTTAACTGAACATGACAAGGGTTGAGTGGAAGAAAAGAGCACTAAGAAGTGAACTCTCCCTGGAGATTTCTGTTGTAAGAATTATTGTTGTTTGGTTAGACTGTAAGTTATCATGAAATCAAAGTCATTATTATTTTCTAGTCCCCTATTTCAATAGATGAATAAAATGTCAGCTATGGTTCATATATATTTTTCATTTTAACAAGAATTTTTATAATAAAACAGATTATAAGACAAATTTTTGGTTTCAATTTGTTATTTATTGGTTTATAAAAAACAGTGTATGCAAATGATTCTGTAATACCTATCAGTACATGACTCTTGTATAAAATACTATTACCTTCTGATATAAATTATTCAATCTCTTTAAAGTTATCACCACATTAACTTATAATGCTTAACTTTATTGGTACTTTTATTAAAAAACTATCAACAATGTAAACACCCCATATACAAGCATACAAGGGTAAGCTATTAATGGTTGTTGTTGTTTATCACCAGAAACAGCAACAAAAAGTCTAGAGGCTGATATGCTAGACCAAACTACCACTAAAATAGCAAGAGCTAGTCCCAGTGGGCCACTAAGTTTAAAAAACACACCCAAAGAAGAGAGAACCACAATTGGCATTAAACAATAACCCAGTATACTTCCTACAGTACTCAGTGTGAAAGTGTCACTGTTTGAAGTCATCAAAGATAGTAGGACATACATGAGAATGGTTGAAATCATGGATATTCCATAAATATATCCAAAATGGGCATTCTTTCCAGCTAAAAATAATGTAGCTGCCAACAATAGACAGAAAGCTATGGGTCCTGCCAAATCAGATTCTTTGGTGAGATATTCAGCATCATCAGCCAGACTATGTCCTCTTAAAGGATTCAAAACTGCTAATACTTTCTCCAAAATGCGGTCTGGAAAGATTTCCAACTCTTCTAACAAAGGGGGCTCGTCAAATTCATTAGTTGTTTTGTGCATATCATATTGTTCAGGTATAAGCATCTGAGGAGGATATTTTGGAAATGCCTGATCATTGTTGAAATCATTGGTTGTGTTGAACTCTGTAAACCAGATGCGAATTATCAATCATTTTTGAGTACATGGTTTATTTGGTTTATTGGAACTGAACTGTAACAACTCACCTAATTGCTGATTTGCAAATTGGTTATACTCATCTGCATAATAACTTTGACTCACTGGCTCTTGATGTTGCCAATAGAATTCCTGCTGATTTGAGTTGATATAATCTCCCATTTTATTTGAATATTTAGGTGAATGATTTACAACTGAATATAGGGTTCAGAAAATACTTTAGAGGTAGAAGTTGGGAGTTTCTGGTGTTCCCAATTTCTTTTGTTTTGTTTTTGATTCAATTCTGAAACTCAACGTCATCTCAAGTTCTACTGTCTTAAGCAAGGTTGCCGTTTCAGAATTCCAATTTGTACTAGAAGTCATTCCGAAATTGTACTAAATTCAATTGTACTGAATTTAGAAAATGACACTTCAAAATTTACCACATACACATTTGATGAAAATAGTTATTTGTTTAACTAGGCAGCAAAGTAGTTGATTGACTGCCGTGGCTGAATTCATAGCCGGGCGTAGCGAGGCTAGGAATCCAGCTAAGGCAGTCAATCTACTTTGCTGCCGAGTTGAACATATAATTTTTTCTCCGATTGTTCATAATGATATGGGAGAATATTGTATTTGCGAATTAATACAATTCCCACAATCTCTTTATTCTTCCTGTATAGTGTTCAATTAAAATAAAATTTGATAGAAATCGCAGTTGTTGGTTTGACAATTCATGAAATTTCTGACAGTTGTGCGAAAAAATATCGGTATATTTAAATTATTATATAATGGACAGTGATAGCGACCTGGAAGTATACTTACACCTCCATTAATAAGGGAGGTGGCAAAAAATATAGAGTTGAATTTGTTGCCGGGGAAGTCTCGGATGAAATATGAAGGAAATTATAAACGATTTATGAATTTTCATTTTTGCTGATACATATCAATCAGCAAAGTAACCACTTTGCTGCCTAGGCAGCAAAGTACCCACTTTGCTGCCTAGGCCGGAAAAGTAATACTTTGCTGATTGATATGTGTCAGCAAAATTAATATTTGCTGCCAATCGGAGGAAAACTTCATATTCATTTATGAAAATTCGAAATAATAATATACAGCACACTTGAACACCTCTGAAAAACATAGATCATGAAACAATTATAGCTAATTAAAGCCGAAAATAAGAAATAGAAAGGAACAGATCAGATTACTTTTTTAAAATAGTATCATCAACAAGTGTACCAGTTTGCAAATGAACTCAAGAACCCTAAAAGTGATAGATTCACATGGTCCACACTCCCACTCCCACTCCATAGTAGACTATATTGAGTTCTTTTTTAATTTGACATTTTACATTTTGTGACAAACATATGACATGAAACAACAAGTTTGCTCACATGGCACTAATTTTATATAGCCTATAGTTTTCGAACCATTTCCGAACCTCATTGTCCGATCAATGAATAGAATAGAATAGAATTTATTGGTTTCTTTGAAAATTCCATTCATTACACACGTCAAATGGTTTGGGACATGTCCGTAGATATAAATATCTTGTTATAAAAAAACTCTGTTGTTTATATTGAGTTCATTGTGTCCGATTGGTCACAGTGAATCTCGTGATACATTATGAACGCGTGCGCATCCGCTCGTAGAAAAACAGAATTATTAACGAGATCCTCGAGATCTCGAGAGGAAGGAAAAACATCCTTGAATGCCTAAATCACTACACAAATGATCACAGTGGGCTGACGCCATGCTATAAGTGGACCAGAATGAAACTCCCTGACCAAACTCAACCTTCACAATTTCATTACGAAAAATAATAATGAAATAACACGAATCCCAACATATCGCGTGATGGAAATGGTTCGAAAGATTTAGGCACTTCTAAATACTCGAGGAGATAGAGTGACTATATATAGGCTGTGTCAAGTCTGTGGTTTGACCGGGCACATACGTTCAGTACGAAGTCTGACCATCAGTTTGACCAACCAGCTATTTGGGAATATCGGTCACGTTTCAAACCTGCCCGCAAAGTTACCACGTTATTTTTGCTGGGAGTCGAGTCAACCATCAACCATTGGTCGTTGTTTACATTCAGTTCATTGCTTGACCAATGACGGCTAAATGGACTGTCTGACGAGTACTACATGACTGTCCAATCACTCAGTTCAGTGTATTCTCCACCAGAGGGGTTTACTTGCCGTCCTTTGTGGAGAAGTCATTTGTTTAGCTCTCATTCGGTTGTTTTCCAAAGGTCCCTGATGTGTTCTGTTGAATTTAATCTATGATATCGATAAATTCCTTTACTTTTTCGAATTTTCATTCAATCAAGCATTCTTCTTTGTGTTTAGTTCTGGTAGTTTATTTATTCAGGTTTGCTAGTTGTGTCTTCATCATGTATTTACAGCCTTTCTAGCGTATGAAATGAAATGTAGTGCTCATACCCAGTGATAAACTCCACAGCAAAAATGGTCGAATTTTATTTTGAAAGGCATTGGTAAGAATATGATTTTTCATGTACACTTTTCTGATGATGTTCAATTTCAGCCTCGATTCCACCATTAGAACACTGGTGTTAATTCTGGTGTTGAAGTTTGTGTCAATGATTTTGAAAGACACTATAGAGACACTACATATGGCGACTTATCAGGATCGGGACTACATTCAGAAAGGATCGCTTACCATAATTTTCAAGGTATGTTTAGTCTGCATTGTTGTTGCGTAGCTAGGTAGGGTAGGAGTAGTATTGTTGAAAATTGTGTCATGTGAGCCTGATGGTTCAAGCCATCAATACAACGTATTCAAACTTAAATTACCATATACCTACAGGATGGGCATCCCAAAAAGCAACACCAAGAATGAAAGAGGAATGGAATTTAAGGTATGCTCTTTGAATCCCAGAGAATCATCAGTCTAGGCCAACATCTGGAGTTTTTTCAAGTGCCACAACTACAATTTGAGGTATTTTGTGTTCTTGCTTCCTGGCAAATATCACAGAATAATGATAATATCAGAGATTTTCAAAAATGTTTTTCACTGCTGTGATGATTTTGTCACAAAAAATTTAAATTAATTATTTGGCCTAAGTTTATGTATTATGTATGCCCATCTATCAATGAGATCCTGTATAGCTTTCTTGTTTTCTTGATAGGAGTATGAGATGGTATGTGAAATAAGGTAAAATGTTGTCACTGATACTATATAGCCCACTAACTATAGCTTCCCTAAGTAAATCTAAAAAGATGAAAAGAGCGCAAACTCAACTTTTGAAATGCATATAACTATTTTTGTCTCCACAAAGTTTTGAAAATGGTTGAAAAATATGGATTGATAGATAGATAGATGATATGTATAGAAAGCATTTATTCAAGTAATATAATAATTTTATTCCATAGACAGTCACCATAATAAACAATTTCTTTTTCCATTAAATTAGCTGATGATGAGCTTATATTTGAACTCAAAACATGCTTCTTCTCTGCTGATTTCTGAACAGATAATAGAAATTGTGGGATACACAATAATATATCATCTTCCTCTTTCATTTCCAGTGTCCAAAGGATCTCCAGGTAACCTAGCTTCATCCTCCAAAGTCAAGATCCCATATCTAAGCCGTTTTATATTCATTGTGTCGCCATCCACAGAACCTATAAAGAAATGTTGCTATAGAGCATTTGATGATTTTGATGCTGGCATAGTTCTATCAATTTTGCAATACAATTTATCTGTATATCTGATATGAAATATATAAGTATGAAATGATAAATTGATATTTAATTTTCTATTCATGGAGATACCTGATATTGTAGTTAAAATGTCATTGGCTTGACACAGTCATAGTCACTCTATGTCCCTTTCTTCATCTGAGGGAGCATCAATAGAACAAATTTTTCGTCAAGTGTCAAGTCACTAGTTGCGTTTTATTCGTTCCATTCTAGTAGCGGTGGTGGGAACAGAATGACGTTTACAAATTAAACGAGAAACTTTATGACCTTGCATTGGAGAATTCACATAAGAGGTTAAATTTATATATATTGGGGCTCCAAATAATTTCAAAATCATGATACTAGAGTTAATAATCTAGAAAATCAGTCAACGAATATTTGAAGCAGTGATTGTGGTGATTGGAGAAACCTCTCTGAGATCGAGAGAATGAATTTTATCTGGGAATGAACATATGAAACCTGTCCTACTTGAAAGAATATATACCTGTGAAGTTCGCGATAAAAATTTCTTTTAAATGTCTTCTACTTTTGAAATGCTTCGTTTTTCGTCAATATAATATAATTTTTTTGACAACTGTCAACAGTCATAACACGTCATTCCTTGAAGTCAGACGGAATGAAAAGTAGCAACCGGAATCGGAATAGTTGTTAATAAAACGACACCCGACATCCACCTTTCTCGACACCAAAGAACAGTGTTGTTCTTGTCATTACTTTTGTAATAGATCTATTACTATTCCACGGAGATTGTTACGATATCACGATTTGTCATGAATCTATTACTATGTTAGCACCAAAATATGATGATTTGTTACTAAAAAATCTATTTCTGTGTTCAGCGGATATTTATGTGCTGCTCTATGGGTCTATGTTCTATATTTATGTCATAAGTTCTGTGTGACTTCTGCCTCATCCCTGTCAAAACTGTCTAACTTGTGCGATATACTTTGACAAGAATGACATTCAGAATGTCAAATGTCAGATTTTTCAGATCTATTAATTTTTGATACCAATCTGTTACCATTTTCCAAGAAATTTATTACGAAAAAATCAGACCCAGGAACAACCACTGAACTGCACTGAACTATAACCCGAACTGAGGAGTGAGGAATCCTCATTGACCTCATTAACAAATTAACATCTCAATCTCACTGAAGATTCATCTCACTCAAGATGTAGATGTAGGGTTCTTGAGAAAGCTATAATTAATAATACGGGCCATAGATCAGAAATTTCGAATTTGGTTGAACCGTTGAACCTGGTTAACCCACGTTGAACCTTTGAAAATGGATCTTCTGCAGACAATTTTGCGATCTTGCCAATCAGAGAATTATTACAATAATTTCAAAAATAGTGGCATAGATTCTTATACTTTGAAATTATTAACTGAAGAAGATCTGGAGGATATAGGAATTGAGAATGTAGTAAATAGAAAAAAAATTCTGAAACATTTCAGCAACCTGCAGATTCCAACAGAGTATGTAAATATTATAAATGAATAATATTTTTCTAAAACATACTTTGCATTATATCCACTGAGATATTCACCTAAGAAGTGAATATTTCTGCATAATACTGATATTTCATAAGTACCTGTCTCCCTTCAGTAGGAACATGGAGTATATTATTTGCAGTTATCTAGATATCCTTTATCTAGTTCTTGTAATTTCAGAAAAAAAATCAACTTAATAGTGGATCAGCAATACACCCAATTAGTGTTGACTCAGATGTCAGAACAGTTACACAGGCATTTGGCAATACTCACATATGCCTTGAAGAGACAAGATGTATATCTATGTAAAATAACTCTCACCCCTTCAATGCATTGTTTGTCAAAAATGTTACAAGACATTGAGAAGAAATTGGAAACCTTTGAACATGCAGTGAGTACATAGAGAATAGAGTGGGAAATAACTAGTAATTACTGTATTTGTTTGATAAAAAACCATATTCAAGCTTTGAAAAGCACATTTTTTATTCATCTAAAAGGTTTAAAAGGAAATGAAGAAATGCTCCCTCTAGTAGGACGGATGTAAAACCTGCCACATCCACAATTATACACTAAGAAAAATGTATGTATTTGAAAAAAAAAACAGAAATCCAGTTGGATGAACATTTCAAGGTTGGAGCCCTTATCAGAATACGCCTTCAGTGAGTATGGAAATAGTTTGTCAGGCTGTAGGAGGGATGCTAAAAGGGGTTACAATCAGAAAAAAAACTTCTTTAAATGTTAAGGATTCTAACTAGCAGAAATCAATTGCAATAGTTGAAATACACCTTGAGAACCTGATAAAATATTTTGCCAGGCCATAGGAGAAATGCTAAGGGGTGAATATAAGAAAATATTTCATAACTTCTTTAAATCATGATGTTAAGGTTTCTAACTAGCAGAAATAGTTTGCTCTGGTGTAAATACACCTTGGGTACCTAATTAAATATTTTGACAGGCTGTAGGAGGAATGCTAAGGTGAATATAAGAAAATAATTCATTACTTCTTTAAATGATGATGTTAGGGTTTCTAACTAGCAGAAATCGATTGCCCTGCTCGAAACGGCTAGAAATACACATTGAGTACCTAATAAAATATTTTGTCAGGCCATAGGAGGAATGCTACAAGGGGTGAATTTTTTTTAAATTGTTCTAAAATTGTTCTATCTGTCAGTGTGCGAGCAAGGAATGATGATGGATAAGGTTTCTAACTAGCAGAAATCGATTGCCCTGCTAGAAATACACCTTGAGTACCTGATCAAATATTTCGACAGGCCTTAGGAGGGATGGTAAAAGATGTGCTTTTCTTTCTAATCAATTGTTCTCTGTCATGTCTACTTCTTCATGTCTGAATGTGTGGTGTTGAATAAAACTAAAATCAACCTGCATCGGTTTTATTTCGTTACAAACTGTAGAGTTTGAGACGAAAATTCCAACAATATCAGAAAAAAATCATATCATCTCTAGTTACAAACCTTAACATCGTCATTTGAAGAAGTACTCACTTTTTTCCCACGGGAAAAAAGTAATTTATGAAAAGTGACATTTTATAACATGCCAACAGAGATGAAATGCCAAACTTTTTTCCCGTCACAGAAAAAAAATATTTTATTAGGTACCCAAGGTTTATTTACACCAGAGCAATCGATTTCTGCTAGTTAGAAACCTTATATCATCGTCATTTAAAGAAGTTATTTTTTTTTCTGATTGTCACCCCTTGTAGCATCCCTCCTACAGCCTGACAAAATATCTCCACACTCACTGAAGGCGTATTCTGATAAGGGCTATCAATTTTGTTCGGCTCCAACCTTAAAATGTTCATTCAACTGGATTTCTGGATTTTTTTTTCAAATACAAACTTTTTAAGAATTACTCAAATTTAATCAACAGGTACTCATTTTCACTTATCCAGTGTACACCAGTCTCAATGAGTTATCTACCCCTCAGAGGGAGCATGAAATTATACTGGAAATTTTTTGACGTTTATAGGTTAAATAACATTTACATTCAACTTCAGAATATTTCTAGTTCATTCTATAAGTCAATAAATAAAAATCATGTATCAACAGCTTACCATATCATATTATGTAGGTATACTTGCATGTTGTTACTATACCTTATAGTTCTTACATTTCATCACAAACAACCATCATTTTCATATAAACACTATCATATTATACCTACTCTTCAGTTTTGACATGAAGAAAGACATAGGTAAATAAAAAAATATATTATTATTATGCTTCAACATACAAAGCCTACTATTCTAATGTCAAAACCATCAAAAATCGTCATTATCCAAGTAATTTCTTAATAATATATCAGTGTGAAATTTTCTCCCCGAATACCACTTTAGCTTCAATTAATATCCGGGATTTTTTTCTGGAACACGAATATTTTGAAAATTCGTGTTCTCGAAAAAATTTCCGGAAATAATTGAAGCTCTCGTGATATTATAAGTGAAAATATTCAAAAAAATTATGTAGGATATATGAACAGATAGAAAACAAATATTCAGCTGTGACTAAACTACAGGAGAAATAAAATTGCTAATTCAATTTCTGGAATCTATCTCTCCTCTTGTGGGGAGGCATCAAAGTGTTGAATTGCGGAATTGATGATGAAATCTATTTCTTGTGGGTATATATCTCACGTCAGTTTTTCACAAATTCATTCAGCTAAAGTTGGTGGAAATATATACCTTTGCAACTATTCAACTTAACAGAATGAATTAGACATAATCTGAAGTCAAATGTAAATGCCATTTTACCTATAAACGTCATAGTAATTTTCCTAACAAGTGCGGAAAGTGATTCTTTCCCGCACGTGACTGCCGTTGACACGAAAGACGCGAAGCGGAGTTCGGGCAAGCAGTCGAATGCGGGAAAGAAACTTTCCGCATGAGTTAGGAACAATATTTTTTCTACAAGTGTAGGAAATTGATTGAATCGTTCAATTAATTATTCAAGCAAATAGGAACAGCTAACAAGAGAAATATATTCTCTATCTACTAATTATTAGTAATAGCTATTGTGAACTTACAGTTTGACGCATTATGTTGGTTCCGAGGTTGGTTCATTGCGGAAGCCAGCAGGCCCATTAGGAGTTTGGTCTCTAGGTTCCAGACACTTCTATGAAATGAGCCAAAAATACATATTCTTCATTCGGTTTTTTCATTTCTTTATTGTTGCACCATTCAATAAAACGCGTGTATATAGCTTCTCATACCTTTCCTAAGACTTCGTTAGTGATAACGCATCTGTATCAAATCCCTATAGCTAGAAGTTTTTGATCACATTGTGGCATTTCCACTGAATCGAAAATGACATCAGTAACGCTGTGTCTGTCACTTCGACAATTTCAAACTTATTTGAGGTTTGATTGGCATGACAAATTGACGTTTCCCGTCAGATCAATCCAAATATATAGGGGGATTTTTATAATAATCAATTTTTATTTCTCAATATTTCTTAATTTTTACAATGAATAGTGCAATTTGATGGATGATTCTGAACATACATACTTAATACTGCAACAAACAAACTTAAACTTTTTTATTCCATCACCAACCACTTAGAAAACTAGTGATTTTATCATATCTTTGTTTTCCCGCACTACTGCGGGAAAATGACACTTCCCAAACTAAATATCGTGCGGGTATAGGGTGAAACACGCACGGTTGTAGAAAAAAACATTTCCAGTGCAATTTCATGCTCCTTCCCCCAAGGAGGAGGAAACATTTTCCGAAAATTTAAAATTTGTTCAGTTGCTATATGGTAACGATACAAATACAGTCTCTTTATTGGTAGATAATGTTGGGTGTGAAATTTTCTAATTAATAATAATTGAAAACTTCAAAAATTCATTTTTTAGGTTCTTACAAAGAAAAAGCGAAGAAATAATAAGGTATTGATCATCATGCCTACAATTTTTATTGGGAGCTTGGCTGCAGTTGTTTGTTATAAGCATATTTTTTCTGTATCAAGAAGTTGACATATTTTTTCATGGATTCGAAATGAAACACAGTTGGAACTATGGAAGATTGCAAAAGTTCATCTACTGAAATATTTCATTTTATACTTTGAAACTCTTATTTTTGTAATATATTTTTTGTATAAATATTACTGTTCTTACTTTTTTCTTCGTTCTTACAGGGGCGTCATTTCAGTGAAAAATAAGGGGGGCATATAATACAGAAAACTATAGTGGAATATGATTTCATTGATGTGATAAATTGGTTCAATCCAATGTTACTCAGCGTTAATTTAAGAAAAACCGTAATAATTCCCTTTTGTAGCACAGCAAATACAATGCCTGAATTTGAGAAATTACACTTCATCGTCTCTCATAACAAAACAGGAACAAAAAACTAAATATATAGGTATAATTATTGATCAGACGATCTGGCAATTAAATTGATTTAAATGTAAATAAAGTGCTCAAAGAAACAAGTGGACCACTGAAATATTTGACAATTTTCAAACTGCCATATCTTTTTAGAAAATGAATTTTCAATCTAAATGCAGTGCTTGGAAGATGCGATCTTTCTGTTCAAGATTCCACGTTCAAAACTCGTCGGGAGTTTTTCTGTCATTATACATCAAGGGTTCGAAAAGAATATTACAAAAAGGAAAACATTCAAACGCTTCCGTATTCTAGGGAATTTTTTTTATTTTTCGTTTTTTCCGAACGTTCAAGCCATTATCACGAAACGGTATTGTAATTTTTCATATTCGTACAGGATGTTGAAAATCGATAATTTTTCATTTTTATCGCATCATTTCCGATTTCAAAATTATGCAAGCCACATTCTACGTATTTTTCCACTCTATACGATGGAACATATCCTTGAAAATGGATTCATATTGCGTTGAAATCATCGACTACTTCAACATCAGGAGAAATAGTTATTTTTGTATCTAGAGCGCGAAATGCTACTTTGGTGAACGAGATCTGATTTTTTTAACGAGGTGTAGCCGAGTTAATAATAATAATAATAATAATAATAATAATAATAATAATATGTCTTTATTCATCATTATCATTTCACAACTGGTAGAGAAAGAAACAAATAGATGAAAGGGCGGGGTTCAGCTAAGAAGCTGCTTTTAAACCCAACCGGTAGAATGATATACCTAAATATAATTAATAAGAAACTAAATTACAGAATTTTCAAAATGAATTTATGATTAAAAATTGTACATAGGTTATCGGAATAATTACCAGAAAATTAGTATAAATGTATAAGTGGACAGTACAGTTTAATGCACTGAATAAGATAGTTACAACCAGATCAAAAATCACGCCGTCATAAAAAAGAAAAAACTACTGCCGCCCAGAGAAAAACAATTTCAGCCGTTTCTTAAAATTATTTAAAGTGAATTCCTTGAATTCAACAGGGATGGTATTGTAGAGCTTAGCAGCATTATAGGAAAAGCTTCGGGTGAAAATTGACTTGGTATGTCTAGGAATAAGTAGCAAATGCTTGTTGCGCGAAGACTTTTTAAGTGATAGTTTAGAAAGTTTATTACGTAAATATGGCGGTGAACCAGATGTCAAAATTTTGTGGGTGAAAGTGAGTAGGTGTATTTCCCTCGTGTGTCAGTTTCAGCCATCCAGAGTCATGAAAGGCATCACTAATGTGTTCATATTTGCGGAGCAGGTCCGTAGATACAATCACAGTAAGTACGCCAATCTAGAAAAAATGAGGGATTCGCAAAGATTTAATTTAGTTCTTTTCGATAAAATATTTCTACTCGCGGATAAAGTTGTCTCAATACATTGAAGGAGGATTGGCATAAATGGTTGACGTGCTTAGTGAATCTCATGTCAGTATCTAGCCATAAACCCAAATTCTTACATGCATCCACAAAGGGAATTACGTCTTTGTTAATTTGGATTGAAAGAGAATCACATAATTCTTTTTTCACACATTTAGAACCAAAAAGCATAGCTTGGGATTTCTTCGAATTCAGTTTCAAATTATGGGCACAGGAGGCATCGAACAATAACTGTAAATTTCTGTTGATATCTTCTTCGGCGAGCTTAGAATTATGGAAATTGAAAGAGCTGTAAAGTTGTGTGTCATCAGCGTAGTGATGAATGTTACCTGATCTAATATATTCATGGAAGTCGCTTTATATAGAGTGCAAATAGCAGTGGTCCTAAGATGGAACCTTGCGGGACTCCGAATGGTTTCAAAAGGGAGTCTGATTTGTTACGATCCAATATGACACTTTGAGAACGACTAGATAAGTAACTTTCTAATAGCGATACTGAGGATTCTGTAAAACCGAAACACAAGAGTTTTTTGCATAGAACTGTAGGGTCAAGTGTGAAATGCTTTGCTGTAATCCAATAAGATGAGGCAAGTTAAGTTACTGTTATCCAAGGATTTCAGAATATCATCTGTTATTAAGCTCAGTGCTGTTGTAGTGCTATATTGGGCGCGAAACCCCGATTGAACACTAGTTATCAAATCTGTTTCGTTATAGCAAAAGTAGTGATATGTGTATATCGAAGACTGGAACCTTTGGCACGATAATACACTACACTGTTTTACCACTAACCAAACCGATTTTTTAACGCCTCGACACGTGTTTCGCTAACTATGTTAGCATCTTCAGGAGAAGATTAAAACTGGTTTTAATCTTCTCCTGAAGATGCTAACATAGTTAGCGAAACACGTGCCGAGGCGTTAAAAAATCGGTTTGGTTGGTGGTAAAACAGTGTAGTGTAGTGATCTGTGCTTTAAGAACCATTTCAAAAGCCTTTGAGAGTGTAGGCAAAATACTAATAGGCCTAATATCAGAAAATTCCTTAGGCTCATTACATTTTGAGAGTGGGAGGACTATGGCGTGCTTCCACAGGGAAGGGAAAATGGAGGATGAAATAACAAAATTAAAAATGAAAGTAATTTGATCCAATAAAAATGGTGATACCATGTGTAGCATTCGTAGTGAAATATGTTCAGATCCTATTGCATTGCTTTTAATTTTATTCAAATATCTCATGACTGTCCCAGAATCTACATTTATGAAAGTAAAATTGGGTTCACGTTTAGGAATACCGTATGTATCAATCAGAGCATTTTGTCTCGCCGTTTTGTCTATAGTTGGCACATTTGTGAAATGTTCATTCATTGAGTTTTGATTTTGTAGCCTAACGGGTATGTCGGAAGTTTTTTTATCTCGTAGTACTTCAAGAGATCTTAATGTTTTCCAGGTACCTAGTCCTGGAGTTTTGCTGACGCAAAATGTGATTGAGATAGGCGGCTTTTTCTCGACGCACAGCTCCACAAACATAATTCCGTAAATCTTTGTAGTACTTCCAAGATCCCGATGTTCTTAATCTCTTATACCGTGAGAAGGCCTTATGTTTGAGTTCTAGCATTTGTTTTATGTTATACGTTATCCATGGTTTTGGTGGACTGGACGCTCTGAATGTACGGTAAGGGGCATGGTGATTGAAAATATTAATCAGGTTAGTATTGAGGAATGAGAGCATATCATCCACATATTATCATACGAGTAAATGTTATTCCAATCAACATTCGACAGATCCATATGTTAAAGGAATCGTTATCAAAGTGGGAGAAGTCGCGATAGGTTATTTGTTTATCATATTTGTAAGAAGGGATGTTGATTTCGCATTTAAGGGCATAGTGATCAGAAATACCATCTATATCTATAACATCTATGTATGTGATGTGCCTTGAATCATCAACGAGAAGCAGGTCAATGAGTGTTTGACTGACATCATTCACTCTTGTTGGAGAGTTGATAAGCTGGAGTAGATTGTAAGAATCGAGAAAATTATAAAGTAGCTCACTCCTACGATCACGTTTCATAAGGTCAATATTTAAGTCTCCAACAATGAGAAAGATATCGCTGTCAGGCAAAAAGTTAACTACAGCATTTCCCAACTCGTCAAGGCAGTTTGTTATAGAGGCGGAGGGAGGGCGGTAGACAACTGATAAAACCAGAGTTTTATGATTGATTTTTAGAGTAACCCAGAGCTGTTCAAGTAAGGGGCTGATGTTTGAAAGCAAAGTAGAGCAATCGAAATGGTCTTCAAAGTACAGGGCGACTCCTCCACCCGGCCCCCGCCTATCTTCATGAAAAAATGTATAACCCTGTATCGTCACAAAATCTAAATTACTCCGCTCGCTGAGCCATGTTTCTCCCAAGGCGACTATCGATATCATGCTTGACTATGATTTTATTCTCGTAAACTATAAAAACCTGTTGAGAGGGACCTAACATTCAGATGTAGTATACTTATATTTTTTTGCATTAAGTCCAGGACAACAAACCTATAATATTATAGTACAGAAGTAAACTAAGAAAGGTTATATAGAGATTATAAATAACAGTAATAATAAAATAATTAGCATTGACCTTACTAAATATACTGAGGTAGCTCACATTGGACTATCTAAATCTTATTGACCGAGCGAGTTCTCGGTTTCTCCTGAGTGGCTTTAGACAATTGTATTTTTTGTTGTAAGGGTTTATTCGTTGTAGAATTCTTGGGGGTACTGATGCCACCTTGAGAATCTGCTGTCTTTCCAGTGAATTCCACTGTTGGGGTAGGAGGTGCACTGTTAGTTTTGATTAATGGACTGGCATCTTCTTCTAGATCATCAACGCCATGTGATAATCCATCTACAACTAGTTTGTTTCCCCTCATGAAGCATTCCTTGTTGCTCGATTCCTGTTTAGCAAGGAAGAGGTGTCTTCTCAGAATTTTATTCTCGCTTCTCTGCATGGGAGTGAGATCATGAGCAATGGAGATGTTTTTACCTTTCAGCCTATTGCAATTTTTCAATACCTCTTTTTTCTTTAGGTTTGAAACAAACTCAAGTTTAATGGGGCAGTTATATCCGATTTTCCCAAAGGATAAACGTCTCCGCAATCACTTTTATTTTATTAAAAAAATAGTCGAGATGATCAAAGTATTTCGCGCTCGAGTTGCAAACAACATTTTTTCTACAAACGTCAAAAAATATAGTTCTTAAGTAAGAATTATCTCAGCTTGATGAAAAAAATGGTGTTGAACTGGCTTAAAAGGCATCCCCCTATCCTCCCTAGGTGCGCCACACGATGTTCTACGAACATAATAGGAATTTCCTTTCGTGC